CACAGATTATTTGGAAACCTGAAACTTTAACTGAGAAGGGTTGCTCCAGATCTCATCTCTTCAGGTTTGATCCTGTATTGTGCTCAGCTTCTCTTGAGTCATGCTAGGGATGAACAAATCTGTTTCACTTTCTATACTGTTTCCATTTTCCCAAGCACAGATTTGTCCTGTCCCATTTCCACATAAGCTTGCAAATATGCTTTTTAAAGTCCACCCCAAAATTGCCATGCTTGTGCAGTTTTGCAGCATTTTCCCCCAGACTGATGCATTTCCCCTGGTTTATGCACATTAAAATAGGCTTCACAATAGACACAATTTGACTGGAGAACTTCCTCACAAAATTGTAAAAACTGAACAGTGCTCTGGTTCACATATTTGTTTGGGGAAATGTAGGTTAGGTTGGATTGGATTCAAATGCAAACCAAGAGTGTTTTGCACCATCCATGAGTGATAGCAAGCACCCCCATATTTTCAGAGGGGTATAGTTATACAGCTAAGCATCTAAGGGTCTGAGTTCTGGCATTTGAACCCTTGTAAGCATTTTTCAGATAATCCTGCAGATTGACTCCAAGGCATGGTCTAAGCAAGCTTGAGGGGCAGCAAAATACTGAAGCTCAGTGCATTCTACAAGAGAACTGCAGGATTAAATAAATGACATAAGTGCATGTCTGTATGCATAAAATACTTGGCTCCTCAACAACAGGTAACTGATTGTCAACTGATTGTCCATGTAAAAACATTCCTTGATGTTGCGGTCATCAAATGATGAATATGCATGTGTGAATAGGGCCTGGGAGCCAGTGTGGCAGAGTGGTTGAAGTGTTGAACAGAGACTCAAGAGTTTTGGTTCCTAGTCCCCACTCACTGGGTGGCTTTGGACCAGCCACAAACTCTCAGCCTAATCTATCTCACAGGTTGTGGTCGCTTATGGAAAAAAGGCAAACCTTTTAAGCTGCTTTGGGTTTCTTGCAAGAGGTAGGTATAAGTGTATTTTGATGTAATAATTATAATTTTGAACAATATTTGATTTTTGTGTGCTTAGGAAACATGAAAAGCCTAACTAACCACAACAATTAAACCTGTTCAACATAACAAATGGCTCTATTCTAGTTTTTCTATTACTGCATGGGCCACGCGCAAACTAGTGAACTGTATTTTAAAAGTCATCCTCTGCCTTTTTAACCTGTTTTATTTTTATTATTTTATTTTTTAAGGTTAGGGTTAGGACCTCAAGGACCTGCTTGCTCTTCCTGACCAAGCTCATTTACTTTCTAAGGTCTGCACATGTCTCAATGACGGTGGAGTCACAAGTGATTGCAAAATGGAAGGGGACCATTCCCGGGGCCAGGCCCACATGGTCGAACTCTCTGCCAGGGAACATCTGTCTGGACTGCCCCCTCTTTCATTTTATTAGTAACTTGTCCACTTGTTGAGGCCTACTGGCTGGAAGAGTTTTTAATGGACAGCTCATGCAAGGTGTTTTTAATCTGTGGTACTTACATCTGTTTAATGTATTGATGGTTTATTTTTATCTCATTTGTATAACAGGGCAGGGAGTTGTATCTTGTAAACCCATTGTTGTTGTTGTTGCAGTTGAGCAGCCTTGCAAAACCTGATGCTATCTAGATGTGTTAGCCTACGACTAACACATCAGCTTGTAGTCCAATGCTGGCTGAGACTTCCGGGAGCTATAATCAAAACCATTCGGATGGCATCAAGTTTCAGAAGAATGCAGCAGAGGGTTGGCATATAAACTGTTGGGGCAAAATCCTGTGCATGTTTAGTCAGAAGAAAGGTCTACAACTGTTAGGCTTTTTCTGTCTAACTGTGCATAGGAGTGCACTTACATCTTTCCAATCTTACATGCTATGAGTACAGTCTTGCAGCTTCAAGCCACACACACCTCTACAAACCAAAGCGTTTTCAATACAGGCAGAAAAACATGGCACCTGAAGGGTTTCCTCAGTTTTCCTCAGCCCTGTACTTCAGTTCTACAGTTTGGAGAGGCACCAGAAAGATGCACTGTGTGAGGAAACCGTAGCAAAAAGGCATAGAATAATGTATCTGGCACCTTCAAACGAATTAGAGGCTCTTATTTGCACACAAGCTATTTTCCTGTGGGAAAACACTATTAACAAGTCTTCAGGTCCTAACTCTGATGAGAATTTCCTATGTAATATGCCATGTCTGGATACTGTCTGAAGAACGCCAGTCTTTGAGCATGGCAATACAGCAATTTTGGTCTGTGCTATGCCCTCTTGGGCAGGCTTGGGAAGTTAGCTGCAAGCCTATATCCACTGGTCTAGGAGCAAGCCCCATTGAACTCAGTATGACTTCTCAGTTTATTTGTAGATTAACATGGACTATTGGTGAGCATACAATTGCTACAGGTCATGAAGCCTTCCAATTTAAAAGCAAAACCAATCTCCCCACAGCTGTTCCTCTTGACTTGGAGCAAAACAGGAGCAAGGAGCAAACTGGTACAGGCATGGCCTTGGGGGTCTCCAGCCTGGTGCACTGGCCCACCCTGCTTTGCAAAATGTCAGGGTCTCCTCATGGTATATAATCCAGGTGACCCCTTCACCAGGACAGAAAAGAAATTCACCCTTCTGTAAGCAGGGCAGTCCAGTGCACTGGCCCTCAGTGAATGGCTGTTCAAGTGTAAATTTGGTTAACAGAACAAAATAAACGTTTATGTGAGGATCCCTCTTCAAGTGCAAAACCCATGCAAATAACCTCAGGGCATGTCTGCACCACAGACAAACTGGTTTGGTGGTCATTCCCTCCTCCCAGGAATTCCTAGGAAGGAAGGTTCTTGGGTTCTCTAATAGGAATTGTTCAGTAACTTCACAGCCCAACATTCCACACTGGAAGCCAAGACACTTCAGCCATTACAAAGCTGATCTAACTCTGCCATGTAAATATATGTTGAGTGTTTCCATGAGTCCCTTATTCCATTTTCAGCTACCTTGAAGCCCTTTCAATTACGTGTTTTTTTGAAGAAAGTCTCATAGTCTCTCTTTCTCCACAGGTATCATCCTCGGATTTGGTCTCCGGTCATACCACTTCAGCTATCGAGAAGTGAAGTACTTTTCCTTCCCTGGTGAACTCTTAATGAGAATGTTGCAGATGTTGGTTTTGCCTCTCATTGTATCCAGTCTGGTAACAGGTACAGTGTTGGCCTGCCTCCCTGCCCGCCCTCCTTCCTTCCTGCTTTCCTTCCTTCCAGTGCTGTTGCTGTTGAAGTTCTAGATTAATTTTGCTTGTGTGTAAGTTCATTAGTGGAAAAGCATGCACACTTCAAACAAGTGCATAAAAGAACTCAGATATATGTAAGTTAGATGTCATAATCCATGGTAGAGATTATTAGGGAAAGGATAAAATCCTTTTACATCTACAGGAATTGGTAAAGAACTTGCTTTATATTCAGAAGGTTGGAGCCGCCAGATTTATGGTGGACCAATGTGCTGACGGGAGTGGACTTCCCTGCCTGCTTCTTCCCATAGCAGCCTCGCCAGGACCCTGGAAGTGCTGCACAGATAGTCAGTGAATCCAGCATCGTAGGTGTGTCAGGGAGGGGATCTTCTGCAAGCAGAGTCCCTCTTCTTGCAAAAGAGAGATTCAGGATCCAACGCAGACGGCCATAGGTTCAGTCCCTGAGATCTCCCATTAAAATGATTGACAGAAGGCATTGATGGTTGATTGGAATAATATGATATGTGCGACTGAATGGTGGAAATAGGTATCATAGCTGACATGAAGTTTATAAAGATAAAAATAAAGGGGATTTCTATACATTTAGTTTAAAATGGTCAAGAAGCAGGCAAGGACAAAGCACTCTGCCTGCAATGGTGGAGAGGTGCTGCTTGTCATAGGAACACAGTGAGTCACATGGGCAATGACTCTAACCTGTTCTAAGTTTCCTTAAGGCACAAGCCTTATGCATGTTGAGACGAAAAAAAAAAAGCCCTACAACTCCCAGCATGCCCCACCTGGTCGTGATGGCTGACTGAGGCTTGCTGGGAGTTGTAGGCCCTCTTTTGGTTGAAAAGGGGTCACATTCCAGTGGGTGGTAGGAACAAAAATACCAGCCTGCCTTAGCTTAAAGCTCTCGTTGCTAGTAGCTCAAACTTAGCAGTGAGGCATTTCAGCAACTGGCGAGTGGGGGGAAGGGCATGGCCACCTGAAGAGACCTGGAGGCCTGCTCAGGACCCCGGCTGGGCCGTATTTGGACCGCCCTCTGACCAGTGTACACCTCTGACAGAGAAAGGAATGGCTGCTTCTTGTGGTAACCACAGCACTAAGGTGGATATCAAAAGCCCCCCCTCAAGCCCCCCATCCTGGTTGCGCTCTTTCTTGAGACTTGCCCAATCAGTGTTGCAACAGGCAAATCTGAGTAATAATTAATGTAACTCTGTGCCCTGCTTTACTGAGGGTAGTCCTCTTTTTGAAGGCAACCTCTAGTTACAAGGATGTCCCACTGAAGACTTGTTTAAAGATGCTGCCTGCCTACCATTAGCACCTGGACAGCCAGATGAGTGGGCATGAAGGTTACCTGGTCACAGGCTTCCCCATTGTTGTGAGATAGGCTCTGTTTCTTTTCAAATTATAGTGAACATTTCCAAAGAGGCATCTACACACATACAGTTCGCATATATAAATTTCATGCAAACCTTTCTCCTATGTCATGTTGTCCTCTTTTGGAAGGATGCTTTCCTCCTCTTTGGTGATGTGTTGTAATCCATTTGTATACCAGACTGCAAAGCATTGTATCCTGCAAAAAAGAGCATTGACTCTCAGGATTCTCCCATGTTTGGTAACTGTGTCAGGGATGCACCAATGAAAGGAAAACGTTCCTCAGAGCTGAGGAAACATCTTCAATTTTTTTCTCACCTACTTTATTTCATAGCTGTAATTTTGATGCATTTTACAACTTGGCATCTTGTAAATTGTCTGTCGGTGAACATTTTAGCCACATTCAGGCTTTTCAGCCCTCTCAGATAACAAATTAGGGAGATTATGATCTAACACACCCTTCATAAAAATTCAAAAAAGGGTTGGTACATTAGCAGCATTTCAAACACTGTGCCTTAGCATGGGCTTCAGATCTTCTCATCTCTGTACAACTGCAAAATCCAACTGTATTATTATTATTTTTAAAAATAACTTTTCCTTTTATGTGCTTCTTCCACCCATCCCCCTCTTAAAATCTTCAATGTTTGCTTGGCAAGGATGACCTCCTACATTCCTTCTTAACCCAACTTTTCGCCTCATCCCTTTTTGCAACTGAAATGTACACAGAAGTTGTTAGACATCTCTGTGAGCCAAAATCCTTTCCCCGCTCCCTTTATTCTTTTGGAGGGGGGAGTGGGAAGTGGGGTGTCTACTCTATTCCAGTGGCTTTCAAACAGTTCCCAGGGAACTTGGATTTCTTTAGTAAGAAGCTCTGTCATCGTGCATACACCCTATAAGACAGCTTTCTAAGCTTGGATGCAGGTTTGCAGGATTCCTCAGCAAAGTGTGACAGGGCTTGTCTATGGCATCAGGCAGCAGCAGTTCTGATCAGCACTGGACAGCAGAGAGTCGCAGTTTAAGCTTTTAAATTGCTGAAGAAGACTTTGCTAAACACACACTTGCGGGGTAGACATCCACTCTTGTCGCTGAATGGAGCACCTGCCCTCTCTCTGCCTTGTTGTCCCATGTTCTGCTGCTTGCATTCCTCACTCCTCAGTCTGTCTCCAGCATTGCAAGTGAGCCAGCTTGCAGGGCTGTTGGGGAAGCCTTCAAGCAGTGGATCATGGGGAGGTGAGTTTCATAAATCCATCTGTTTCTCTTTTAGCCAGATTCAAAACTGGAAATCTGTTTTCTTCACACCCTGTTCAAACAGGCAGAATGGATTGAAAATCCAGTGCTATGGTGTATCCAGAGCTATCAATATCCTTTAATAAATCCTTGTGTATATGCTTTTTTATTTTATTTATTTATTTAAAACTTTTATATGCCGTCACCACATGCCTCAGCATCTTGGGACAGTTCACAAATATACAATTAAAACAATAAAACAATAACAAATTACATAAAATTATATAAAAACAAAAAAGCAACTATTAACAATAAAATAAAATTTTTTAAAATAGCAATTAAATAAAAAGGTTTTAACCTGGTGCCAAAAAGAATATATGCTCAGTGCCAGGTGCACCTCTCCAGGGAACACATTCCATAATCTGGGTGCCTCTGCAGAGGAGGCCCTGCTTCGGGTAGTTTTTTTTTTTTTAATCTCCTTTAAAGGGCTCCCAGAGCAAAGCCTCTCCTGCAGATCTTAAGGGGCATGAGGGCATGTAAGGGAAGAGGCGCTCCTTCAGGTATCCTGGTCCCAAGCCATTCAGGGCTTCATAGGTTAAAACCAGCACCTTGAATTGGGCCTGAACTTCAACTGGAAGCCAGTGTAGCTGGTAGAGGACCGGTGTTATATGAGAATAACAACCGGTCCCCGTCAGCAACCTGGAAGCTCTATTCTGTACCAGTTGAAGTATCCGGACCGTTTCAAGGGCAGCCCCACATAGAGCACATTACAGTAATTCAAGCGAGAGGTTATCAGAGCATGAATCACTGTTGCTAGGCAGTGCTTGTCCAGGTAAGGGCGCAGCTGGTGGACCAGCTGAAGCTGTAGGAAAGCACTCCTTGCCACCACTGCCACCTGGGATTCAAGTGACAGCTCTGTGTCAAGGAGCACTCCCAAAGTGCGGACCCTGTCCTTTAGAGGGAGTGCTACCCCATCCAGGACAAGGTCAAAGTCACTTACCTGAAACCGCAATTCGCCCACCAACAGGACTTCCATCTTATCTGCATTGAGGCTCAGTTTATTGGCCCTCATCCAGCCCATTTCCTCGGCCAGGCACTGGTTCAGCACAGCCACTGCCTCACCTGGAGTAGATGTAAACGAAAGATAGAGCTGGGTGTCATCAGCATACTGGTGACACCACAGCCCAAACCTCCTAATGACCTCTCCCAGTGGTTTCATGTAGATGTTGAAAAGCATGGGGCACAAAATAGAGGGCTGCAGAACCCCATGGCACAACTGCCACAGCACAGAGCTGTTGTCCCCCAGTACCACCTTCTGGAGTCAGCCAGCCAGGTAGGAGCAGAACCACTGCCAAGCAGAGCCTCCTACTCCTAACCTGGCCAGTCTATCCAGAAGGATACCATGGTCGATGGTATTGCAAGCCGCTAAGAGGTCCAGGAGAACCAACGGGGATGCACTCCCCCTGTCCCACTCCCTGCACAGGTCATCGTACAGGGTGACCAAGGCAAATTCAGTGCCATAACCAGGTCTGAAACCAGATTGAATTGGGTCCAGATAATCCGTTTCATCCAAGAGTGCCTGGAGCTGTCCCGCCACCACCCACTCTAACACCTTGCCCAGGAATGGGATGTTGGCCACCAGTCTATAATTGGCAGCCACCTCTGGGTCCAGGGATGCCTTCTTCAGGATAGGCTGGATCACTGCCTCCTTCAAGGGGGTAGGGACCCAGCCCTCCCTCAGTGAGGTGTTGACAACCTCCTGAACCTAGGGACCAATCCCGTAACTGGCTTCTTTAAATAGCCAAGAGGGGCAAGGGTCCAAGAGACAGGTGGTGGGACATACCATTCCAAGCACCTTGTTCACATCATCAGGCTGCAATAACTGAAACTCATCCAATAATGATGGACCAGACGGCACTCTGGACACCTCTCGTACTGGATTCAAATCAACTGTGGAGTCCAGATCGTGGTGAATCTGAGCGACTTTTTCCCTGAAGTGCTGGGCAAAGTCGTCACAGCAGGCTGCCGAAGGTGCAACTGCTTCCTTCTCTGGCCAGAATGTATCAGGCCTCGCGCCACTCGAAAAAGCTCTGCCGGACAGCACTGTGAGGAACCAATGGAAACGTTGAAGAACTGCCTCTTCGCCGCCTTCACCGCCACAGCATAGTCATGATAACGTGCACGTAAGTGTGTTGGGTCAGATTTGTCCCGAGATTTCCTCCACCTACACTCTAGTTGTCTCCCAGTCTGCTTCACTGCCCGCAACTCAGGCGTGTACCATGGTGCCGAGCGGGCTCTGCTAGGTGGGAGAGGACGCTTAGGAGCAATCGTGTTGATTGCCTTGGTCATCTCCCTATTCCACGAGTC